AAGTTTTTGAAAAAGCTACTTACAAAACCTTTAATTATTGAATCATGGCTGAACGCAGATATAGTAGAGCGAGTGAATATATTTCGATAAGTTTATATTTTTGTAAGGCATTTTTTTTATTTCTAGACATTCAACAACACAATTTGGAAGCTGTTGGTGAAATTTCGGAAGCAACTGGTAGGTTTAATGAAAGCTACGATATATTTGAAGGAAACTTCCCTCACTCTCTTCTTTCTGAGATTAGTAATTTGCCATTTTTGTATTATAAATTCGTATCATCTTTTCATTAAAAAAAAAAAAAAAAAATTTCAATCATAGCATAGAAAGTCGGAACATAATTTACAAATTAATTATTCGGGGGAAGTTTCACTTCCGTTGTGTTGCCTAGGCGCACTTATTTTCTTGTTAAAATTAAACTCTCATTGGTATGTTTCCATTTTTCCACGCCTTCAGAGCCTAACTTAGCGAAAGTGATTGAGGAGAGCATTTGTGAAGAAGTTAACACCAAAACGCAGCAGGACGTGGAAATAAATCCAGCAACATTTGAAGTAGTAAACGTAGAAAATGAAGAAAATTCGAATGTAATTAATGAAGGTAAGTTAAACGCATATGTATAAATATTTTTAATATGTTTAAATATGTATGTATATGACTGAAAAATCTTCTAATTGTAGTGCGAAATGAACAAGCATGTGAACTGTCTGACGATAATATAAAGAATACTGACACAGAGTCTGAATGTAATATTTTGTTATAGAATTTTTTCGAATGTATTTTAAATTAATCGCACATTACTTTTAGGTCATCCGGACTCTTCATTCAACGAACTTCAAACAGATGAAAAAGACATCGTCCATAATACCTCAGATAGTACAGCTAATGCAAAGGGTATTGTTTGGTCCAATAACGTTATTGAGTTTATGCTTTAATCTTGAAATTTCTTCCATAGCGATAGCAACCAATGACGGAGCAGAAGAGCTGTCTGAAATTGACGCTTTAGTAACGGTAAAAACTAATGAATCCGATGAAATTCTAGATGAATCCGATTATGAATATGGCAAAGAAGTTAAAGAAGAAGCCAAAGGTTTGTATTTGCTATTTTTAGTAGAAAAAATAATAATCATCCATAGAGAGCAGAGATTTTTCACATGGTGTGGATCCATATACAAGATATTTGTATATATGTACATATACATATTTTTACTTTTGGGCACCGAAGGAGATTCGTTTTAGTCTCATTGCTTTTTTTCCAAGCAGTTAACTTTTTGTGCATGCTGCTCTGTTTTTTAGCCGGAGTTAGGACAACTTAAAATAACGATAAGTAAACTCTTCAGCATGGCCAAATATCGACAACGTGGGGAGAATTAGAAAAGGCTAATATATAAGGGAGAATTCTTGTATGTAATGGGTAGACAGCGCTCTTCATGAAGAGATCAGACCATTTGAAAATCAGTTCAATACAGATAATAGTTCTGTTAGCCAAAAAGTCCAGCAAGAATTTTCTATTACTCAACATCATAAATTTGTTTGATTTTGACATAAAAGAGAAGGAAGAACTCTATCTGTCGCTAAAAAAATATAAATAGATCTAATCTGGTCACAACCGCGCGAGTGCTAACTACTTGCTGGTATTAACGGTTGCATTTCAAACATAATCAATTTATACGAAATTTTTTAAATTATATTTACCTTCAAGCTGAATTGTCATTATATGTACCAAAAATAAAACCAGCTTCTTTCAGGCAGATTATTACATTCTTATTCTGACTTCCTTTACTTTGTCGTAGTAACCATCCGTTTCCTACATACATATGTTGACTAGTTCCACGGATCCAAGTGTGAGCAAATTATTTTCTCGGCGAACAGAACTAATTTACCCTAGCCAGCTTCCTAGACTTTGATGGTGGTTTCAACAATGACAAGACAGAAGTTATCGGTAAGCTGCTGGTCAGACTCGTCATCCAGCAGCCTACGTAAACGCTGTAGGCACGGTGCTTAAGGAGGCTAAGCACAATGTGTATATCGAATTCGGTCGAGATCGGCCAAGTAGTTTTTGAGGTGCGAAGATATGAAATTTGAGTTTTTGGTTAAGAGCCATTGTATATATCAATTTTCAATAAATATTGATGAGCTCCTTAGCCATACTGCTCAAAAAATCTGACCGTCCGGTACACACATATAAATTCAAGGCCGTCTTTTTGCTTAAATTGCTCCACTTCGACAATTTTTATTCAATTACATTAGGTGATGTATCAATTTCTTCGAAAATAAATAGGGGTATTCTCGAAGTCTTGCACGATGCACGGATTGCGCGAAATGCAAAAATACTATTCCAAATTTGGAAGAGTACGAGCGCACCCCATTGCAAACTGGTAGCATGTATAGGTAGCAAGCAGCGAAATTCTGTATGTATCAAATACAATAACAAGAGACAGCGAAAAAAATGAAGTGAGCGGAATGAGAGAAATATGTAGCAATTCCAACAACAAAACAACTAGCACAGGGTCGCATTTATTTTGCTGTAATTTTTTGAAAAATATATACATTTGTTTCAAGTTGCATATTTTGCAGCGATGGCAAATGTTGTTTTCCATGTATTTTGTTGATAGGTGTTTGCAAGTTATGCAATCCGTGCAATCCATGCTACGTGCAACGGCTTTGCAAGATTTCGAGAATACCCCTAATGTTCCCTTTGGTAAATACACCATGTTTGGCAACTTTTATGGTCAAAGTTGAAAAACTTAAGAAAAACAGGGTCTTATTAAAGTTTAACCGATGAAAACTCCCAACAAGCTACGTATGTATTACAATATATTGCTATACACCATTTTAAAGGCCCATAAATCCTCTCCGGATGAAAAATAGTCAAGCTGGTAATAGATACCCAGCAAACACAGTTTCTAACATTAGGATATAACGACTTGAAGACGTACATGATTGGTCAGAATGATGAAAAAATCAAAACATTGGCAGATCATAGGTCAGAGAAAAAAAAATTTCCTCGCAAACATGGTAGGTTATTTCATGTATAGAACGCATAAAAAAAATATGAAGCCTATTGAAATTGTAATCCAGATTTGGTGTCCGATATGAAAAAGAATGTCTCATATACAGAATAGTAACTAACTTTTCGTTTTCTTTACTGTTCACCGTTTTAACAGAATCTGCTATACAATTAATTCTCAAACTGTTTTTTTTTTAATTTTCAGCAAATTCTGACGCTGATATGCAGCCAAAAACTCCTAAGAGACATCGTAAATCCGTGAAGATTCTAGACACAGCTACAGAATCACCGAAAACGCCCAAACCATGCGCCGATACTTCAAAACTTATTGGTGTACGAGATTTAGGACGCACGTCCAAATCAACAGTTGATACAGCTGCAGCGGACTTGACTGATGATGAAGAACGCTTTTCAGGACTAGCTGATTTAGTGAATACCCCTACAGCCATAACCAGAGTAACAAAGAAAGCACATGAAGAGGAGGTTGTTTGTGGCAAAAAAGAAGAACAAGAAGAGCCTTCGAGTTCTAACCCAACACACGAAACATTTGTTGGTATGCGTGAGCTGTTGAAAACTCCCAAACACACCAGTACGCCACAATATCGTGGTATGCGGGAACTATTACGCACACCTAAAGCGTGTAGTACACCCCAATTGGGCGGGCTGGACGAGCTTATGCAAACTCCAAAGCGCTCTAAACTTAACGCGCAATATGACGATGAAGATGTAGAGCTCGATCAGTTCTTTAAAACGCCACGTGCTAAAGATGTTATGATACCTGGCGAACCAGCAAGCGCTGTTTTGGAACCCAGTGCGGATACCATGCTCGATATTATGACTGCCACAACTGAATATGAACTACATAGCAATAGCCAGCGGCCGCTGGAAGATATCTACAAAACATCCGTAAGTACACGTTTGACTAGTGTTGATACTACTATTACACAAGATGTTGAAGAAAACACGGAAAAGGAAAGTAAGGAGGAGGAAGATAAAAACGTCGTAACTTCTACAACTGGTGAAAGTGATATCGAATTAATCGTACCCGAAACACCAGCAGCGAAAACTACAACCAAACGAAACCTCTCCGCCGAAGAAGCATTCGAAGATTTAGTAGGTGAGCGCACTACGCTCGACGAAACGCCACCACAAAAAGTTTACGAACGCAAACGTCGATCAGTTGTAGCAACAGATTCCCTACTTTCACCTTTCTCAGCAACAGATATTATATCCGATTTGCCTAAAACCGATATACAAGAATGGGTAGATAATTTGGAGGAAAATGCTGAGCTGGAAGAAGAGGAACAAGAAGTTACTGTTTCGGCATCATTATTAGAATCCTCGAAAGAAAAACAAGATCCTTTTGCAACATCGGCTTGCAAGACAAGTGTCATTGGTGTGAACAAAGACACAACAGAAGAATTACTTGCAGATATAAGTGCCGTGTCCTCAATGGCAGATCCATTGCTCCCAAGTGCATCGAAGAGTTCCAAGTCAGTGCATAATGTAGACGCTGATGAAAACGATACATTGCGTCCAACGACACCCATTGAATCAGAAATTAGTGGTATTAACTTGCTTGATCAAACCAACGAATCCGTGTTCTCAGAGCCACTGATAGTAAGCGATTCCGAGTCGATGCAAGACAAGGGGGAAAATGATGCGAAAGAAAAAGAAAAGACCGACGTAAAATCAAATAAATCGGGAAATGATATTGCATCAACAGGCGCTAATAAGTCAATGGGTGAGGAAGAATTTCCTGTAATGTTTGTAGACAGTAGCGATTCTGAAGCAGAATATGCCGATGGAATCGACACAAATGATGACAGGACGAAACCGGCTGAGAGCACAACTCATACAGAAACACCCGCAGTTGAAGAAACAATTAAAAGTGCACATAACACTGAGATTATCGACCTCGACGATTCTAGTGCATCCGAATCCATTGAATCCACAGTGCTCAGTAACTCAAGAGCGTTTAAAAAGACTAAAGTAAGTAATATTCATACTGAGTTTAGCAACTTTCAGCCACACAAAAACCTTGCCAGCCAGCAAATGCGCGCATCCACTCCTAACCGTTGCAGTAAGGTACGGCAGCCGCAATATACGAGGGGACGTCGGCAGAGCATGGGCGCCGAGAAGTTGCTTGCTAGCAGTTCCATTGATTTAACGCTTGAAAAATCCCGTTTAGCTGGGGAAAGAGCGAATTCTGTTGCGCTCGTAGATAAATGTATAATAGAGATTGATGAAGAGTCTGTGGATCTGTCGACCGTATCTGAGATAGTGACTAATTTCGCTGAAGAAGCGGAAAATACGGCTAAGATGGAGAATAATGATCAAAATAAAAAAGTACCTTCATCAAAACCAAATGAAGAGTTTGACGCAGAATTCAGTAATTTCCAGGCACATAAAACAATCACCAGTCAAGGTAGACGGGCCGCCACACCTGATCAAGTCAATAAAACGCGTGCGCAGAAAATATTACCAGCTCCTCGTCGTTTAACACTGGGCGCTGAGCAGCGCCTATCGGATGTAACCGTTGATTTCATTGAAGAAAAAGCAAAACTAGAAAAATGCAAGCAAAAACCAACGCTTATTGATGAATGTATACAAGAGGTAGACGACTCTGATAAGGAGTGTGATACCAACGCCGAGGTAGCTCAAAATTATATCAGTGCATCGGAAAAAACAGCTAAGGTAGAAAATTCGAACGATGTATCAAAGGAGGAAACATTGAAGCCTGTACAGGTGATGGAGGAGAAACTAGCGATTGCAACTGTTGGATTATCGGAGCAAGTAGATAAAGTTAAACCTGCAGACAAGACAACTGCTAGTGAAGGAAAAGAATTTGCCGAAACTTCTGACGAACCTACAGAACAGGCAGTTGAAACTGAGGAGGCAGAAATAAACTCTACAGCTACTGCTGACGATGTTGATGATGTACAAATAATACAAGATGCAACCGAAATCTCAGCACTTGAAGTGAAACATACCGAGCCTATTGAACAGAAATTGGTTGAACCTGATATCATAGCTATAAAAGATGTTACAATCGCAAAACCTTCAGCAGAAGATGTTATACTTAAAAATGAAAATCAGCCAGAAGTTTCGCTCAGTGCAGAAGCTTCAATTGAAAAAGATAATGCAACAGATAAACCTGTAGCAAAAGAAGTTACATTACAAGAAAATGAGGCGGTAATACCATCAAACGTTGAGTCTTCAATCGGTATAGACACCACAACTAAAGGATCTTTGGGTAAGGAATTTAGAATTCAAGAAAATAATTCCGAAATTCCTTCAACTACAAAGTCTTCAACCGTCAAAAATGATAGTGGCCAGAAGCTCGAGTTAGCTGGCGATGTAGCTATAAATGTTGTTCCAGGCGAAGGCTCAGAAAACGCGTCACCCATCGAAAATGAGTTCAATGAGAGTGATATATTTGATTTATGCGATGAGCTGCCAAAGAAACCGCTAACAGTTAACACAACTCAAGGAGTTATATTTGATTTAACCGAAGAGGAAGCAGATGAAGAAAGTGTCGAAAAGAAAATTGAGGAAATTGCAACTCAGGACGTTAGCTCTTCCAGTCAACAAATTGGAAAGACGAAGTCGGAAAATGCATCAGATGAAGTCATTGCTGGAGAAATGGAAACTGTAGTCGCAACTGAATTGAAAAACACAGAGGTGGCCTTGAAAATTGCCGTTGATGAAAGCATAGTCAATGTTGTGAGTTCAAAGCAAATATATACTGAAAGCAAGGATCACTTCACTATCACAACAGAAAATGGTGCTCCAACTCCTATAATTGAGCTGAACATTTCTCAAGAAAGTACTGACCTAACCTCCGCTGTTGTAGAAGAAGACGTATCGGCGAACATGGACGTTTCAACAGCAAATCAAAAAGATAAAGAAGAAGAAGCGGAAAGAAAAATAATTGGACAACTAGAAGCTACAGCGGTTGAGCAGCAATCTCAGCCAGATGCTGTAGCCGAAGCTTATATCGATACCGAAGTTAACGCTGATGTGCAATCACTTGAGGAGGATGAAATGCTCGTTTTGGCAGTTTCTGTGGAGTCTACAGCTGATGCTGAGATTATCGAAGATGCTGCAGAGACTTCACAAGCTGCGGTAGAAATACCAAATGAATCACAGGTGTACACTGCCACTGAGGAAGTGCCAAAGCTAATTAGAGATACTAGCGATGAAATGGAAATAAATAATGCAAACAGTGAAACAGCTCCGATAATTGCAGACACTGATGTGCTTGTTGAAGTTGAAGCTGGTACAAATATTATCATAACTGAGGAAAAGGCTGAAACCCTAAACGGTGAAAATGCGCCGGTATTACAAGTGGAAGATTCAGTGATTCAGCTGGATAGTGATGTTGAAGAAATTGCAGAAGAACCACTATCAAATACCGTTAACAAGCAGAAAACTGCTATCGAAATAGACATAACGCCTGCAACAATTGAAATTAAAGCAAAAGAGGAAATGGAAACTGTAACCGTTAAAGAAATAAACTCGGAAAAAATTGTCACTGCGACGCCAGCAATTATTGGAGCAGAAGTAAGCGAACATGTAATAAGCGAAAAATCAGAAGATGATGGGGAAGAAAAAGTGATAGAAGTGAAGGCACAGTCAAACGCTGCAGAAAACATCGCAGAAACAACACACACGCTCGAAGAAAGCCCAGTGAAAACGAGTGAATTAGTAGCAATACAGGAAACGAAGGACGCTGGTCAACAAAATAAAACAGAAGCTTCGGTACAACAAATAAAACAACCTGATGATGGGGATGAGTTAGATGAACCAGCACCATCCAATAGAGCGCATGAAGCAGCGAAGTGTACTGATCACAAGCCACCGCGATCTGAACAAACGGCCGCAGAAATAGATGAGTTAGCTGCCGAGAGCATGAGTATAGCTGATCAGACAGAAGCTTCGGTGCAGCAAGCATCAATGTCGGGAGAAGATCTAGATGCACCAAACCTATCCGATAGAGCGCATCAACCAGCGAAGCGTACTGGTCGGAAACCATCGCGATCTAAACCACAGGGCGCAAAAGAAAGTGAGCCTACTTCTAAAGCAGCCACCGAGATCAAGAGTGTATCTGAGAAACCTGCAGCAATTATTAAGGAGCCATACTTAGATACAACAGCGAAACTTGTTGAGGAGAAAGTACAATTAGAACCACTACCACGTACTGAAACCATTGGAGAGTCGAAATCACAAGAACAGGACGTTGAAAAGAACACAGATAAGCCAATACCATCATCTTCAAATGCTGACCGTGATAATAATGAAGAAATAGTCGATGCCACTTCTTCGGATGGGAAACAAGAACCGGCTAAACGAAGAGTTCGCAAACCATCACGCTCTAAGAAAACCGCCGCTGAAAAACTTACTGAAGGTGAAATAGTAGTTATGAATGTTGATCTGCCCGAACAAAAGTTACAGCTGGATACAAAATTACCCGAACATAAAGAAGAGTCTGAAAATAAATCAGAAGAAATAGTGCCAGAAACACCCACAGAAGATATGTCCGAGGAATCTTCTATGCAGGTAGCCGAAGTAGAAAGCAGTGAACCGCTAGTGAAAAGAAGAGGTCGAAAGCCATCACAATCGAAACAAACAGCGCCAGAAAAGTGTGAAGAAATCTGCAAGGCAACTATTGAGAATGTAGCGTTGGAAGAAGACGAGCGTGAAACAATAAATGAAAAGCATTATTTGGAAAAAACTGAGGAAAATATACTCAATACTGAGACAGAAATGCCAAAGTCGGAGTTAGAAGAAGCTGATAAGGTATGTACACCAGAAACTTCAACTAAGACCATGGAAAATGTAGCAAAGGAAGAGAAGGTGCACGAAAAGACAACTTCCAATGGAAAACAACAACCAAATAAGCGTAAAGGACGTAAACAATCGCAATCAAAACAAACAACCGAAGCAATTGAAGAACCAATTTCTGAGGCGATCTTTGAAAATAAAGCTCTGGTTGAGGAAATTGAAATGAATGCTAAAAATGCTAATGAATCATCAATCTCAAAGGCAAACATTGAAAGCAAAACATTAGTAGAAGAATCTGCACCATTTAATGAACAGATAGCCGAGAAAAAAGCAGAGTTGCAAACATACATAAAGACAAGCTATGAGGTGCTCTTAAAGAGCACTTCTGAAACAGCCAATATCGCCGAGGATGACAAGCCCATAGAGGGCGCATATCCATTGCCAAGCTCCAGCGAAAAATCAAAAATTGAAAATAAACCAGCTACCTTGATCACTAGCGAACACGAAGATAAAGCTGTGACAACTACAACTGAGCCGACTAGTGAAGCTCGGAGAGACATTTCTTCTGCAATGGTAACCGAACCTGATAAACATGAGGATTCACATGCACAGAGGCCAACACGACGCAATCGAAAAGGCTCACAATCAAGCCAATGCTCTACTCAAGATGAAGATCATCTGCCAACAACAACCAGGCGGCGTGGTGGGCGTCGACGTGCTGAAACGCCCGTCGAGCTCAGCACAGATGAGGCCGCATCATCTGATGCACCAACAAGTAAACGGCGACGAGGTCCAGGAAAAATAAAAGAGGATGTACAATTGGAAGATATAAAAGAGGTGCAAAATGATGAACCCGAAATTACAACTGAGGAACAGCATCCAATCAAAACTGCTGAAGTAAAGTACAAAAAGAAGTTGGAGACTGAAGTCACGACTGATGATAACAATAGTGAGAAGAAATTTGACAAGATTGATGACGTAAGTGGCGGTACTCCCGGCGCAGAAGAGGTGATACAAGAAGTCGATGAGGTAGCAACGAAGGATACAGGCACATTAACAAAACGAGGTACGAGCAGGCGGCGACATGGAGTTGCTGCGGAAGCGGCCGAAAACGAGGAGAAAATTTTTACTTCGAAAATAAATACTGAAATTACATATGAACATCACATTGATGTCGAAGTACCAGTTACTTCGGCTATTATAACTGTTGCTAAACGCGGCAAACGCAAGCAGACCGTCTCCGAATCGAGTCAAACTTCG